AATACAATTTAGTAAATAAATACAACAAAATAAATGATAATAAATACAAACATAATAAATAATTATTATATTATAAATAATTCACACAATAAATAACAAATTTAGTGATAATCTATATAAAATGTATGATAAAAGACAACTAGCCAATGTAATATAAAATAAATTACTGATATGGTGTATAGATATGATATGTAATATGTAACAAATCACTGTTTTTTGTTGTTCAAACAATGGAACCATTCTCATTAGCTAACTCTGGAGATAGATTATAATAAAAAATATTAAAATGCATCTAATGTAAAAAATAATAACATTAGAATAAAATATCAAATACATACACTGTATGGGTGGAAGTGTTGGGACGCCTGACCATTTGCACCAACAGGAACTTTAATGACATTAACACTAAGTTGGTCCCCCCTTTGCATCTATAACCGCTTCCACTCTTCTTGGAAGGCTAAGTCCCTGTTGGTGTAATGGTCAGTTGTCCCAATGCTTTTGTCAATACATTCAACTCTGGTGATATGCAACAAAGCACTGGTTTTTAACAAAGGAACAAAGGAACAACTTCCCATCTCCACATTTGGAACATTGCCAACGCGACACTCCACCTATGCACAAGTTGCACCTGAGTGCCAAAGTGCCAAATGTGGGCCAGTGTCCAATGCCATCATAGCGGACCTCCAGGCTGGGATGGAGAACTCGAGGGTTAGGGCGACGGACTTGCGGCTTGTGCTTTGCACTTGGGGGCCGGCCAACCCTGGTTGGTACCTTGTTGGCTCCCTTCAACGTGGCTGCCACCGACAAACGGAACTTCTTCAAGGGCATCGGTTTCTCTTTGAGAAGGTTGCAGTCCCGCTTGTAGATAAGCCATGCATTCACAATGCTCACGTCAATGATGTACCCAAACAATGGGAGGTACCAGCGCCGTGCCTTCATTGGCGTTTTGTAGAGGTGCACAAGCATATTGGAGAGATCGATGCCTCCCATGGCTTGATTGTATGCCAGGACGATGGATGGGCAGGGGACGTCAACCTTCTGTTGCACCTCCTTTTTGTATCTTTTCACTGAAGACAGCGGCTCCACCCCACATGCGCTGCTCAGCAGGGTGACACACTTGTTGTCGAACCACTTCACTGCAACGACTCCCTCTGATGAACAGAAATCAACAACACCTCGGCCTTGCTTCACCATCTCCTTGTCGCTCATCAATGTTGCACCACCTGAAAGAAATGGAAATGAGAATTTTGTGTGTGAGTATATATTCTAATAACACTAATACAGTTTTCTATTAAAAACAAGATTGTGTACAGTATATCTGCATCAGAAGAGAAAAACGTGTATGCATGCTCAACCCTCTACATTGCGAGTAAATGATGTCTCTAAAAGACAACTAGCCAATGTAATATAAAATAACAAATTACTGATATGGTGTATAGATATGATATGTAATGTGTAACAAATCACTGTTTTTTTGTTGTTCAAACAATGGAACCATTCTCATTAGCTAACTCTGGAGATATATTATAATAAAAAATATTAAAATGCATCTAATGTAAAAAATAACATTAGAATAAAATATCAAATACATACACTGTATGGGTGGAAGTGTTGTTGCGACGCCTGACCATTTGCACCAACAGGAACTTTGACATGCAGGTAAAAGTGAAATACTGCTGTAGGCCGTGGATGTAGGTCTGGGGCGTCCATAAAATGATCGACAGTCCATTATGCCTGAAAGACATGGCACATAATAAACATTACTATACACAAAAATGAAAAACTGTGGCTTGATTATTCAGTGCCTCAGGTACAGCTATCCATAAAAATAAAAATAAATGGTCATACTGATAAACTGTTTTGCCAACATAGAAACATTGAGATTTCATATAAATTGATAAGAAAAATGGTACTAATACTAATTTTGTGTATTGTGTATGATACATTAAATAACACACAACTATGAAACTAGATATAACAAGAGACAAAATATTTCAGTGTGAATGATGAGGTAATTTTACTGTGCTAAATAAAATATGGACAAATGTCCATCCATCCTTTTAATTGCAAACTCATAAACATGTTATATTTGTCAGATTACTGAACAGAAAATTGAATGTTTATAGCTAACTACCCATCTAGAAAGCTGTAGCTATAGCTATTTTATGTTATTCCAAAAAGACTCGGATACAATGGCTATTGTAGAAATAATAAGTACTAGCTCATGTCAAATTATGTAAGGATTAAACTGATTTAAAGATATGACAATCTGAAGGTAAAACCAAATACTG